ATGTGACATTCTCTTGTGAAATATCTTGTACCAAGTGTATAGCTTGATATGAGTTACTTAAATTTGATTGAATTATGATTCATACACTTGATCAGCTCACGAATAAATTTTATAAATATCTTGAGAAACTCTAAATCTTGATATCAAAAAATTTGCTTATTTGTTTCATCTAATATCAAGCGTTGCAAGAGATCATGTGTGATAACTTTCAATTCTTGTGATTTGAAATTAAATAGAGTGGATAAAAGTTAGACAACCGTTCGGATCTTTGAGTTTGTGAAAGAATGAATGCATGCATGACTCCAAAGTGATGCATCATAAATTTGGCAAATGTTGCAACAATCTTGATGTTGATTCACAACTTTGATGACATTTTCTTGTGGAATACCTTATGCCAAGGTTGTACTTTCATTTGAATAAATTTGGACTTAATACAATCAAAATGATACACTTGTTTTTCTCACGAGTGTATGTTCCAAGGATCTTGATAATCTCTTCCAAGTTGATATGGATAAAAAAGTTGTTCCAACAATAACTTGATCATTTTGCATCATATTAATCATATGGAAATACTTGTTGTATACTACGTGGCATCAAATTTAAGTTTAGAACTTTGATATTATTCATATGATATATACAAAATATTTATTTTCATCAACATTTTAGTACTCCCAAAGTCTCAACGTTTTAATTCATGGATGTGGAGATTGATCAAAAGATTTGGAGGTTTGATATCACAATGTCATACATCAATGTCACTATGGATGTAGTCAAATGAACTGCAGATCTACTAAATGTAAAGTTTGACATAAATCAAAGACATCTGTTGATTTATTAGATATAATGTCTAGATATACGATAAATTGTCTCTTGAACATACAGGAACATACAATTCATACTTGTTTGTAGTGAAAAAAAAACAATGTTAAAATGTCATAATGTTAAGGTTATTGAGAATACGCATCAAATGTAATTCTTGATTCTTATTCTACTTATCTTGCAACAACTCTTTTTTTTTATTGACATGGTTTACATTTCACAAAGAAAAGAATTACAATTGCCGACTAGAAATATTTTTTTTGTTTGATGGTCAATTGTAATTGTTATCCCCGCAAATAGCTTATGATAGCTTAGCTTCTTTAGGTAGATCATATTGGTGATCAACCTAAAGAAATTTTGAAATTTGATGAGATTTATTGGTCGTTTGATATTATTATTATTATTTGCGTACTTAATAAGTTGTTTGATCTTAATTTAATTCAAATGCAAGTATTCAATACTTTAATCTATGAAAAATTAAATGAATTCATCTTTATGAAAAAATTTATAAACTTTGTGAAAAAAACCAAGAATTGAGAAATCCAAAAAAGGATTCAAAGAAACATGAAAGATGGTAAGTTATGATTGATTCAAGTCAAATATGCTAGAAAGCTACTTCTAAGGTTCAACATGTACTCATGAAATGTTTTGAAATTTTCTTTAGCTTTTCATTTTAAGCATTCATAGTTTTTTTGTTTGAAAAATGAGATGAAGATGCTTCGATGTACAAGATATCTTATGACAAGACACTGAAAATGTTTTTTATGATTTGCACTATGCTAGATATTGACTATTATGGTTAAGACTATTATTTATTTATATTTATATATGTCAAATTCATAAAAGCTACATTCAAATGCTATGAAATGAAATCTTAAATTTTTAAAGAGCAAGTTGAATTTTGTTCTTGAATTTGATGAGATTTTGAACTATGTCAATGTATTGATTTATACTATATAAATATTGACTATGTAGAACTTTTGGATGAACAAATATGAAAGTCTAGATATGCATTCACACTTGGAATGGATGCATAAATTGAAAATTCACATGAAATCAATTTGTAGCTCAATCTACTACAAAAGTTGAATATAAAGAGATAGAAAAAATTGAAAAAGTAATGTTTTGATTAAAGAAATCTTCCACTAAAATAGTATCAATTCATGACATAATAAAACAATCAAAGTGCTTTAATATAGTGAGAAATAACACAATAAAAAATATTTAAATCAGGTTTTATCTTTTCAAAAATTGATTGAGCTAGTCAAGATTCACACTAAACTCAATCTTAATCATGAATCATTTTGGTAAAATTTTTCATTTTAAAAGAAATTCAAAGCATTGTGCGTTTCTGCAAATTTTTCATATAAATACAAGTAGACTAGCAATTATCAAACCTCTACATGCATAATTTTATCTATCATATTTTCTACTAATGCTTATTTATAAATTGATCTATGTTAGAATCTATTTTTGAATCACTTTCTACACATTGTTGAGCCTTTTCACCGCATTCTTGATACTCCAACTGGTCTATATCCTTCGCCGAAAACACTCCAGAAAGAACTACAACTTCACCTCTATGTGAATGTAGAGATGTTAGAATAAGAGGAGTGAATTTTTTCATTTTGCCATTGCCAATTTTTTGTCCTGCTCTTTTTTTCGACTTGTAAATAGATAGACGTTATTATCCTTCGCCGAAAACACCCCAGAAAAAACTACAATTTCAGCTCTATGTGAATGTAGAGATGTAAGAATAAGAGGAGTGAATTTTTTCGTTTTGCCTTTGCTAATTTTTTGTTTTGCTCTTTATTTCGACTTGTAAATAGATAGACGTCTTTCGTAACCGGAGTCATCTCCACTCAGCAAATATATCCCATAGCCATCACTGCCAATTATATCGAATCATTACACTTTCTCACAACCGCATGCTCTTCGCAGTAAAGCTACTTGGCGCATCAACGACAACAAATTCATAGCACGTGCCCAGATGTCATTGACGTACTTCGAACAGTACGAGTCCAAGGAGCACTACGCACAGACTATTTGATGATAGTCGAAATTCCTTGGCACAAACTATGACCCAATATAACGAATAATTGACTGTAGACTATCAATGGAAAATAAGGATCTTTTGCAGGTAAGCATATTAGTTATGCTACTATTGTTGATGTTTAACACTTCCATCAGATATATTTCTTTTTAGAATGTGATTTGGAGTGACAAAGCATTACCTATTTTAAAGCTTCTTCCAAATACTAAATCTATTGAGTAATATCCCGCTTCTATCCCAATTCGGACCTTACACACACTAAATTTGCAAAGCTAACGATCACGACTTTCTAAGTTCCTTAAAATTCAACTTAGACTGGAATTGATTAGTGACTCTTGTGCCTGCAAGTGACAATTCTGACGCTTCTTATCTTAATATCGAGTTACATTGGGCCAGCCACAACGGAAAAGCCTTCACGCCTGTAAGCATTTAACCATCTGATCGATGTGCAATCGTCCTGTCACACTTTCTATCTCTCTCCCAAAAACGAAGGAATGTTGTAGATCATTAGTGTAAAGGCGGGCTGCTTGTTAATGGGAGCTCTGAAGTTCCTCTAACTCCGTTGCGCACAGATGTTCATATTTGAGCTTGGCCAAAGCGGACAGCAATGCATCCTCCGAATGCCAATCGTCTACTTTAAGTGTACGTCGTGGGGAAAGCTGATACTATCAACACGCCATGGAATTTCAACATTGTCAATAATCATAGTTTGCATTGTCCCACACATTCTTGACTAAAGTACCGAACTGTGATATAACAAATCAAAATAGCTCCAGTTTCTTCCTCTGCTACAAGTTCCACAATTTACCTGCATAGTCGGAAAGCCCCAATCTAGCATCAACAGAAATCTCTAAATTATCCGCATACATGTCTGGAATATTGGTCTTCGAGACCTACTTATTGAAACGAAATCCAAGTTTAGCAACACCTGCATCATCTGCAGTGGCTTCAGACCAATGGTTTCATGCGATGACCATGTTTTTAAGGGCACCATCCAACATGTTCCAATGCTTGTGTCCTAGGATTTAATTCAGATCCACAGGAGATGATTGACTATACTTCGTGAAGTAAAGACGAATCGTCAATCTTTTGATCTTCGTATAGCTCCGTCGGTTCAGAATCGAAATTTATTGATTATGTCTGCTACGATCATTCAACGAGAAAAGCAGGGCAAATGCATCTCAGACAAAAAATCTTACTCTGCAAAATTCGACAGATACAATGGTCAATTAGTCCTCGGAAGATCGTGTGAAGTCAAAGCGCTACAATTGACCACGCATTTAAACGCAGAAAAAACCTATTCGAGGTAACGTATGCCATACGGACATCCTGACACACTGTTCGTTTCTGAACTATCTCCATAACATCCAGAAACAGAGTAGAAAAGGCGTACAAGGCTTCACGAAGCTGTGTCCGTATGGCATAGGTACCCAATTTTGTCGTTTGGTAATGATCTCCACTTGTAGTCATGGCAGCTACAAGCCGAACAACTCATATTAAAAAACTTCACGGACAATTATCAGTCCAATAATCACATTCGCCCTCAGTCCAGGGGTTAGAATCTAGAGTTAAATGCTTCTCAAATATTCTAGAAAAATGTTGCCACTTTTGCAACCCTGCAAATGTTCACTACATGCTCGATGTCCTGCGGAGACTTACAGAACACGCCAACAAGGTAAAACAAGATTCATGGACAGAATGCTCAAAAGAGATGCAAGAGTGCAAGAGCTCCTCTTCTGAGAAAACAAGAGGTGATTCAAACCTCCAAGGTTGCCGATTTCAGTGTCTACAAACTCATGCTGGAGCTTCGGTAACAGTGGTGCTCACCTGACATAATTCCTCGACCGCCTTTCGATAAAATCAATTTTTCTCGACGAATGCATGATATTACAGGACAATGTCGAACCATGAACGAAGGAGGATGCAATCATGTTAGGGTAGGGGTACCCATTACTGATCTAGTGAAAAAGATTTAGAGACAAAACTAACAGGTACATGACGTATAAGATCAGTTGACCGTATGGTCCGTCCACGCATGTTTTAAACAGTGTTGTGTTTAGACAAATTGCACAAGGCAGTGGACACCCCAGTCTATACTTCAATGCGAGAGGACAACGACAAATGACGTGGGTTTCAAACAAAAACAAGAACGCTATGCATCAAATAAGCTTCCAAGTTATCCTTCTCATCAAACAGTGTCAAACATTATCTAGTTACCCCTCACTTGGTAAAGCTTAAAAGCTCAAGGACTAACACCCGTCCTCTATGTGAACTTCCTCCCTACGTTCCACTTTGGTCCTTAAACAACACAACACAGCCTGCTTCTGTTCTAAAAAGTTGCGAGGCCTTGCTAAGGTAGAGTGACAGTCCTTCACATCATCTTGAAAAAGTTTGAACAAAAACGTGGAAAGGGCAATCTCATGGGCGTAAACAAAACGCAGCTGAAACATGGACTGACTAACTATCTTTCTATTCCATACTGGCCCAGAAGTTGTACAAAAAGAATTGTGAACTGCTATACACAGAAAGTTGCACTTTTAGTAAGAAGATACTGCATATCTTACAGACTACTTATTGGGATTATTGGGATTGCTGTTATCCTTCTCGACAAGCTTGGCTAAAGCTTGGGCTAAGATGTTGAAAGACTGAGCTTGCACCATCTCAACTTTTGCCCGACTCTCCATCTGATCTCTGAGCAGAGCGAGATGTTCAGTTTTGTGTTGCTTCTCCCACTCCATAGCTTTTTCATCATGTTTGTTCTTTCGAACAATGTCATCCTTCAAAACCTCCACAAGCTTCACAACAGCTTCAGACATCGCTCTCGTCGCACCATTGCAAGTGCGTTTCCGCTTGTTCTTAAGCCTGTCGTCACGTACGATGTTCTTCTTGGTGGGAGAGGTGTTTGGCAGGGTAGATATAGACTCATCCAAACCCGCATCAGGCGTTGGTGTGTTGGCCGCTGCACGATCAACAGGAGTGATTGCATTGAGTAGCGGAGAGAACACATTGGCGGGACCTGCAGGGAATCCAATGGTTTATCACTAAACCGCACAAGAACAGAAACACAAGCTTGACATAATGATTAAAAATCACATCTAGTCACCCCGAAGTATCAATATTAATAAATACTTCATTGTAGACTGCACCCATGTCATCAGCTTATAAAATATACCCAGCAGTTTAGATAAGGAGGAGGTCCCTAAATTGTATAGGGACCATAAACATCAAGATTTCCGAACGCAAGAACCTTGCCCGAATATGAACATAACAATAATTATTGAACAGACCCAGGTATTTCTTTCTTCGCCTACATGGTTTTATTTTTGAACCTCAAAAAACCCTGGGACTATGATCCACTCCATCTTGTGTTTTCTGTTTGGCCCTTATTCCAAGTTCTAAAAGGTTTGAAATTTGTAGAATACACATGTCCTCCGTAGGCTGCACAAAGAACTAAATTAGATGCTAAATGTGGATGCGAGAAAACAGTCTTGTGATTCACCCGCTGATTACATTGGAGTCCTTTCTATAGATGAAAGCAGGAGTTTCCTTCACTGGTATACAGTTCAAGTCTCAGATTTTCATTGAAGTCATGACTGCAAATCTCGGAAAATAAGTATTCCCCAAAAATTGTAATGGTTGCTAAGCCATTTATGCATGTCAACAGCAAACAGTAACAATTTAAGAACGGAGTACAAGAACGTGGTCTCGTCGGAGTTCTTCTTCGCCAGCTTGACCAAACACTATGCCAGTGATTGACAGAACTCTTGAATCTGGAGGAAGGAGACTGGGACAGGGCTATAGGGACTAGACACAAAAACGACAACGAGGGGTGACGTGAAGCCAGCTAACAAAGTTTGAGTATAATGTACCAGGAAAAACAATCACACCTTTCGGCAGTATTGGTCTGAACAGAGTATCTGTCTTCAGTGCCTCCAGCGTCAAGGGCTTGCTACTTTCACCTCCATTCCGTTGAGGTCCTGCTAACCCAGACAAGTAGAGCAAAAGGAAAAAGAAGGTGGTAAGAAAACGATGCTGGAAAGCAAACGAAACGGACAATTATTGGTAGAGGCACGACACTGTAATGAAGAGGCAGATTCTCGTAACTATAATAAACTCGGTGAATGTCGAGGTACAGTTGTAGCCGTGACGAATCATTTTTGGAGGAGAATAACTACTTAAACCCATCAACTTGCAAGCATAAACCAAGAAGATAAACATATCTGGTTTCGAGACAGACTCTATATACAAATGGCCTATATATTCTCTTACTCTACGAAATGATCCTACCTCCTCCAAGTTCATGTCGCAGTATCTACATCACTTTCACATCTATATCGAACTAATCATGCATTCACCTGTTCTGGAATATAAGATGGGAACACCTGGTGCTTGTGAAGTGCCTTCCAATCGCTTTGCAGGCCATTCCTCCATTCTCTTCGGAAGCCACTCCTCCATCTCCCTATATAATTCTTCGGGGAAATTCAACGGCCTAGACCGTTTTCTGCGCTCACTTGTATTCATGTTCCAGTATGACCTCTGGCCAGCTGGGACATGTTTTTCATGATCATAGACGCGTTTAAAATCCTTGGAAACAGTAGCCCATTTTTTCTTGCAAGCCTCGCCGTCTCTGACTGGATTGCATACGCCCTCTTTTACGACATATTGAGCTATTTTCTCCCACTTATTCTTCCTGGAAGTCAACTTAGCTTGCTCACTGCCACCTTGCTCAAGAAGTGATTGTTCATGTTCGTTTCTTTTCGCAGCTATTAGGACTTTCAGTTCGCGCAGATTCCAATCCCTTGCTCGTTGTGGTACTTTAGGTTGAGGAGGATTTGCTGGAGAGCTCTCGGGAATGGCATGCAAAATTTTTATGGACTCCTCAGTTCCATCGATTGAGTCGTTAACGTCCGAATCAGGTACACGAGATATAGGCTCCATCAACTGCAAGAAAAACCAAATTCTAGCTCTTTATATCCGTTCCAAGATCCAAAAATTGTATTACTCAGGACCGATAGAAAAAACTTTATCATGAACGACTATTATGAAACATGAAACTCTCGATCTACTCCATATCAACACGACTCAATCCCGCAGAGTAGACACCATCCAGGGAAACTACCTAAATGCGTTATACAATTACTCTGATGATATGCTTATAGAACTGAACAAAATGCATCGACCGTTCTCAAGGTTTTAGTTGATAGCTGTAAATGTAACCTAGTGTTGACACAAATGCCGCAGAGGGTCAACATGAACACTGAAGCAGCTACAAGTCTAAAAGAAACTTAAAAAAACTTATAATGGTTTACAATCGCTTTTAAGACGAGAAAAAGGTAATAACTAACTTGTGGTTGAAAATTATAAGTCTGGAAGAGTTACTGAAACAGCGTAGGAGTAGTTCTCCTACCTTCATCTACCCAAAAAAATTTAAAAGAAAATTTGTACGACACAGTGAACACGAATAGGCAAAGAGCAACTTTCGATTACGCCTAGTTAAGTCTCTAAATACCATCAAGAGCTTAGATACTTTGATATCATTCGAACGCGAGATGGAGAAAAAGTTTGACATCACCTTCGCATCCCCAAATTTACAACGACTTCTACGAGCTCTAGAAAGGGCCTTGTTAAAAAACGTGTGCTATTATTTTACGTTGCAAACCATCTAGAGAAAGTATATCGTGCATCCCAATGGCAGGAAGTCAGAACACAAGTACTTCTTTGAAACTGGTATTCGAGCATGCCTGTCATGTAAGGCAAGCTCTTATCGAACAACTATGTAGAGTCGTATGACGCAATTTCTGATTGCGGTAACAAGGTATAAGAAGCTGTTAAAATTTTGAACCCCTTGCAATAAACTGAAAGTCACCTTCGACAACTACGTGAAACCAGAATACCAGAACTTATACAATAGTTCTAAGAAGCTTATTGAAACAACCCCCTGTTATGTGATTGCCTAGTATATAAGGGTAGACCGAAAGCAGTACAGCATGATGTTGAGATGAATATGTCTGGGCAGCAGTGTAAAAACAACTTCCACTGAAGAAAACGAAGAAAGGCCTAGATCCACTCTGAATATATTACAATGAGAATGTATTACAAGCTGGAAACCCAATAACTCACAATATACTCATATCTCAACCCAATTTGGCTTCAAAGGTGTATACCTCACTGTGATAATTTCGGATTCCAAATCGTCTGCGTTATCCGCTGTCCTAGTATCAAATCCAACCCCCGTGGGCACCCTCGTCTCCCGTTGAGTTCTTCCAGCACAAAACGGGACGAAAGTGGTCTATACGTTCCTTGCTCCAGTTACACCGAAGAAAACCTGATAAGTCAAGATTATAAAGCTCATGAGGGTCTAGTTCTAATGTAATGCTGGTCATTTATCGAGCAAATATAACCTCAGGCACATGGTGGTCACCTTGATTAACAAATGACTCGCTCTCAAAAATTTGCCAGAAAGAAGTTAAACTGTTTCAGCTTCGGCCTCACAATTTTTCACCGAAAATAACAAATAAAAAAATCATGATATGATTTGGCAATAACACACAGAGTGCTCCAAAATCGAAGACTGAAGGGAAAACAAAGGCCTTTACCGACAGCACAAACAGTGTGACAGGTAGTCCCATGACCCCAACACTTGAAAAAAGTGAAGGACTAATGAGATAATTCTATCACAGCTCCATAACTTCCTACGAAGGAAAGTATGAACCGAGAGGCTCCAATCAAGCTCCTAAGAAGGCAAGCCCAGACTTACCAATCAAAGCAAGACTTGCAGCAGCTTCGAAGGGCAATCGGCATGACTTGTTGCCAAGCCGTAGTAACTCACGGCATCAGCAGAGGTTCGACTGAAATATCTTCGCCTGCCTAAGCTCCTACTAATTATCATCCACGAGATGTAATGACGATCTGACTGAGACACCTGCTGTGTAGGCGAGCCCTTAAGCTAGACAATTGTTCTAGCCAGGTTTGAAGTACCAAGGAGAAAGTAATCGTCAATCAACAAAAGCTCGGCAAGGATGGCGAAGTCTGCAATCACGCAAAATTCGACTCCAACTGCCGAGTACTCTCATCCTGTCACTTCGAGCTTGATGAACGTCAAATTAAGATTTCACAACGATCCAAGGTCAACGCCGACATCTACAGCACAACAAAACATCCCGCAATTAATTGTTGCCCCGAACCTCCTTACTCTTAGCAAGTTTGAAAGTGGAAACAATTTTGAGTTCCGAGTCGTAAGTAGTTGCATTTCGCCAGCAGTCCCTACAAGTAGCATCAATCGAGGCCCGTACACACCTTTCTGTCAACTCCTCGGCCAACTCGTTCATGTGAGTGTCAGTTTCCCGCAGAAAGAATCTCCAGCACTGACGATAAAATATTTTCAAAATTGAAGTTTTTGTCGCAAACACCCCCCGCGGGTGTCATGTTCCCCACGCTCTCAGCTGCATGAGCGTCCGAACCTGCCTCCTTGCGAGCGCAATTCTTAAGCGGTACAGCACTCTGAGGTCACAACAGACCGATGCAAAAGACTTCAAAGTATCCAGACGTTCTCTGACCAGGCGTTCTGGGGGAGTCGTGACCGGGAGAAAACATCAAAGACGCCTCCAAATCTTGGCGACTCGTGCTCGCTGCTGCCAGTTGTGATTTCTCACACTCTGGCGCGACTGAGCAACAAGAACGCAAAATCGCAATTCCGACTTCGAAGTCACGACGAGCAAATTTGCGAGGCGTTGCCGCTCGTTCTCGTCCGGCGCGCTCCAAGGGATGCCCACCGCGCCAATAGTGGTCGGTTTTGCTCGCCTGCGCCTCGTCGCCTCCAGTTCCAGAGCCAGACGCTCGCAGGCCTGCCGCGCCTAGATTCTCCTGTAGCGACTTGCCCGTTGCCGAGACTTGTCCAATGGAAACTCCGCCCTCCCTCGCTCGTATCTCGCACTCGAGACTGAAGAATTGATCGACGACAGGAGCAGATACCATACACAGCATGCCAAGATCGTCGAAGTGCCTCGTCCTGCCCTATTTCGTCACGTCTTTCTCCATCCGTTGAGAAATCGCGCGATTCCGCATCAACGCGTCAGGCTAACCAGTTGCCTGGTTGTCCTGGTGCACGAAATCCTCTTTTGACCGGTCGGGAAAGCGCGCGACCAGAGGTACACGCGTCAGGCTAACTTCAGGAGTTACGCTAACCGGGTGCCAGAGTCTTCTCGTTGGACCGAAGGGCGTGGTTTTCCATCGGATTTCGTCATGTCCCCATCCGTCCGTCGATCGAATCACGCGACCCTTGATCGACGCGTCCAGCCACCCTCCCGAGCCGTGACCGTCTGCCTGTCCTGTTTCATCGCGTCTTCTTCGATCCGTCGATAGATCGCGTGACTCGGGATTGACGCAAATGGCTGGCCACTCTGGTGAACTTAACCACGTGCCTGGGTTGACAGAGCTTCCACGAAAGTAAACATTTCGTACTCTTACGTAACGTCTTCCCTTGGTCCATCCCTGACCTGCACACTCCCATCGAGTCGGCGGCCCACTTTGACACCCTTTGCCGTACTTTTTTATATCACCGCATGACAATACCCGTCCCACAAATTAATGTAAAATAGCCAGATTTAGTATTCGGCGCTCACAAGAGTGTTAAATTTCCCGAGAGTCCTCCTCTACCATTTCCGAATGCAATATTTTCCAGGCAGCTGATGCAGGAAGGATCGATCCGTCCAAAGCTATATGGCTCGGAATTATCTCTCTGAGTGGATATGTAACATGTCAACAAATTCATCGCATAAGGTTCATACAAGCAATAAAAACTAATAATGGACGGAAAAGATTGAACTGCCAAGTAATCTGCTAATACCACGGCTACTTATAAAGTTGTTTCCACCAATACTAGAAACCTCTTATAATTTTGTCCATGTAAAGCTGCAACCTCTTGGGATCTTGGATAGATTGATCGCGGATTTTTCACTAGCATTTTCAGTTCGTCTCCATACATAATCTAAATTGCTCTATTACATAATTGAGGTTATATCTTGGATCTTGTCTCCATCATGCATCGTATCTTTCCAACTCAATTTTTAATCTCGGATGCAAGCTCTTGGATCACAGTTTGATTATGGATGATGGCAATCACTTTATCTTGATATACATTTAAAGCTACAATTTGTTACATGGATGAGTTTGACTGAGCATGCAAACTACTAGAGAATTGCTTGATTTACATCATGGCTTTCTAGCACTCACTGGCTTTATTTTCCACATACAAGCTTGTAGTTCTTGGCTTGATTATCCATCATGTCTTTTCGGCCCCTGCCAACATCATTATTTAGATGGATAGATAGCACACTGCAAGAAAGAGCTAATTTATTGCTTGGACTATGCATCATGGCTTCTACTCATATTGACTACATTTTTTACATGCATGATATTATGTTCGCCAGGAAGCAAGCTCCTAGATCTTGTTCTGATTGTGTATACTGGTTTCACTATTAGCATCGACTAACATTTTCACGTTCAACCTTGTTTAATGGAATAAATTGCTTCACGAAATTCACATGTGACATATAAATATAAGATTTTTCCACATCTTACAAAATAATCATGACCGGGCAAGAAATAAATTTTATTACAAATCGTGATTATGCAATCTTATATATGTATAACCCACAAGTAAAGCCGATAGTGTAATCTATTCATCTCAATTGTCATTACTCATGTGCAATATGGTATTACCTCATATGCACACAACAACTATATGTGACAATATTGAAATTACAATTCCAATCTATATTTCGACTAGTCGTACATATTGTCATGTGGTTGATGCAAGTGGTAACGTACACATGTATAATACTCCACGTACTTAATTGACAGCTGAGCTCTATAAAATCAATCACAATAATAGATACTATTCATTCGCTCGTGTACTACGTTAATTGTGTTTACTCTATACAGTTGATATGTAATGCTTTACATTGATCATTCGATATTACATTCATGACAGACTCAGCCATAATAAATTATTATTTTGTCAAGATCATGAAGCAAATTAATAATTATTGTTCTACCACTTTAGATAAATTGGAAGCAGTAGTATTTTAATTCATGTAGCAACATCAAACAATAGATGGCTCATATAGAAGCAAATACAGCAAGTAAACTTTGCTTTTCTTCCTCTACGATTAGTTTGGCTACAGTATGATTTTCATCGAGTCATATTTCTTTACATTTTCTATGTCCGCAATCAGTAATTTATTTATGTTACAACACTAGTCATAGCATTAATGACAATATAATTTTCTTTATAGCTCCTTACCCATTGGGATGAGTAAGCTACTAAGTGGATTCCTTTCTATAAAAATTGAAGTTTAGCTATTTGTGATCAACTTGTTTTTTTATCAAAATAACCTTTTTACTTATTCTTCTCAACAATATCATCACTTATGTTCTTTGCCATGGTCCGATGTGTAATTGAGTGCAGAAACAATTAGTTTAGTGTTAAGAAAGACATTATTTTATGTGATTATGGTAGCTTTTTTAATTAATATTTTATACTTTTTCTTAATATGTTTGGATTTTTAATAACTCCTATCCAAAAATCCTTAGAAAGTTTTATTTTACCTTAAATTGACAACTTTAATTTGATATATATCATATCAAATTCATAAACATAATTTGACTATGTAAACAAACGATATTTTTGGTTAATATTTGTCAATACACTTTATATGAATCCACATTTTGTAAGAAAGTTTATTTGTGTACACTTTTTGGATATCATCAATCTCATTATATTCTTATCTTTTCTTTCAAGGTTTCCAAGAATTTGTTCTTTATTATCAATTTTAATAAAATTATTTGATAGAAGATATATTACACTTAAAGAAAAACCTAGAAAAACACTTATACTTTTACAATGTCAAAAGCTTCATAGATTATCAATTATCATAATGTTTCCCAAATCATATAATTATGAGCATAACACAAATTATAATTCCTTTATATAACTTACGATGGTATCATTTTATCCTGATTATCTTTGTGAAATATACAAAAGGTTTGTACCTTTGATTTGTTCTATAGTATCATTTTCATTACTTAAATTGCTCAACTTTCAACTCAATATTTATCTAAATATATTTATTTCATATTTTCACAGGCATTGCTACAATAATCTGAAAGCCAAAACATTTCTTTTCTCTGTCTTCATATAAAAATATGTTGCAAAAAAATAACAATGTGAAACTATCATTTACATAAAAATAAATAAAACCAGAATATAACATCATTGTTATAAAATTAATAGGATATGTGAGTCAAATTTTCTATTTGCACAAACAAATCGAGGTGAATTAGCATGTATATTTGTTTAGATAAAAAATTACATAATTTTTGTACAAAAATTGACGATGTAGATTGCGTTTGAATGGAAAATATATTAACAAAATTCTACATTCACAAATGTTCGGTCAATTGCACAATATTTCAATTGAAATTTTTAATATACAAAATATTGAATATTTCACATAAATTTTTTGTAAGTCTTATTTGTAGTAATATTTGTGCTGTTATAAATTCAAATTTTTAGTATGATAACGAATTGTAAGATGTTCAAGATCAGTTTATCATTTATTTTAGGAAAAATTTATAATATAATAAAATAAAAAACTGAATAAGTAACTTAATAATCTAATTTTGAAATTTTGAAAGAATTACTTTTAAAAGATAAGTTCAAACCGAAACCATATGATTTATTGAAATAATATCAGTAATATTATTTATTGAAATAATATTTGTAAGTTTTCAAAATGTTAAATAATGAACATTGATTTTTTCACAAATCATAAGCATACATAAACTTAGAAATATAGTTTAGAAAGTCACAAATTGTCTCATATCCATTAAACATGACATTGCTCAATTGTTAGCAAGATGGAAATAAAAATGTAAAATCAAATGGAATAGAATTAAAAACTTGTGAAATATACTTAAAAAAAATTAAAATCAATTAGAAATATACAATTAATATGAAAATTTATAGGTGAATATCTGATGCTGACTATGAATAAATTTAGACACAAATATCTATATATATGTATTTATATTTTGAATTGAATGCGATATTTTTAAAAAAATACTTTTAAAAGCACATAGTTCATTTAACCTCAAATTTTAATTGTGTAAATGTTTAAAAAGTGATAAGAAATATCTTGTTGCATGAATTATCACAAAAATTATTTAGAATTGGTAAGTTGTGATATCCAATGTGATACTTATATTTCATTATATGTTATCAACATAATGATGAATGACAATGCAAAATATATAAAATAACACATGATTTAATATTTGTTTTTGCTAGGAACATAGAATCAATACAAATTAAAAAAAATTGAGTTTAATAAACTCCAGAATATTTTTGAAAATTGTTGTACTAAATTTTGCTATTTACAGATATTGTAATATACGTATTGATAACAATATAACAGTATTTGTGTTAATTTTTAATATGTAAGAATCATTAATTTTATAAGATTTTTTTATAATAATAGATTATATTTAATTTACATTTTCTTGAAGCAAAAAGCCTGGTATAGGGGGTTGGGGTAGTGAGCCCCACGAGCCAGTCCTCAGACTCATTTGGCGATTAGGCACGTAGTGCTCTCGCTTTGGTCCGAAGGGTCTGAAGGTTATTTTTTGTAATTTTCAGATCATATTCATATAGATTGAAATATTATGTTTGATTTGATAATTATATCAAAATGAAAAGTTCAAGATATATGATCTTACATAAATTAATAAATATTTAATTTTTTTATAGATTGTTGATTTTTGTTGAGGTTAACTCATATTAAGTAGTAACCTCAGGTTTAGTTAGGTCGCCGGTAGCCTTACGCTTCAGTGCGGTTCACATGTCGTTATTTCACCATGGCAGTAAAGTCTCTCACGCGTTTTTTTGTGTGGACGTAGACTTCTAAACAGTGAATCACGTTACTACTGTGTTAACTCTGCTCATATATCTCCATGTTTGTATATTTTGGACTAACAAATGGTATCAGAGCGATGTGTTTCTTGTGATAACATGTGTGTGGAGGTATATTTA